GGGCTTCTTCGTGCTCGGTCCGGTCCTGGTGGGCCGGTCCCGGTCCGTTCAGCGCTGAGCGGCCCTTTGTTTGGGGGGTGGTTTGGTCTGAGTGACCAAGGAGCAATGGAGAATCGAGTTTTCTTCGGTTCTTGGAGTTTCTCGGTGCGGAGTTTCTCACTCGGTGTGGACCCGCGACAGTCGAGGTGTTCAGGTGTAGCCTCATCTAGCCTCTAAGTAGAGCAAGAATGACAGCGACATCTACCACTATACGATACGATACGTACAACATGGTAAAGTACCCCTAATAAAGAGCATCCTTGCACGTGCTTTTTGTTCACGTTTGTTCATGGTGAGCTGGGTGTCCATGAACCGCTTTGACAGTGGAAGTGGTGGACTCTTGTAGAGGGCCGATGGCCTCAACCTTTTCATACTCCAACCTTTGCAACGCTGTTGTGGCCACAGGAAACACCAGTGGGCTGAGAATGGCATGACATCTAGGATTGAGAGGCAAGATTGGCCTCAGCAGCACTAAGGGAAAGACTTGAGCAGCTTTCGCGATGGATTTGCTCAAAGCCTGTATGACTTCTTTCCTGATATCATGAAATCAGCTCCATCCAACAAAAAGAGGGCCAATGTTATATCATGGATCTTTTTCACTGTGCAGATCCCACTCTTCCAACACCAAGGACCCTAAGCTTTTCCCCCCCAAAAAACCTAATCATTACTCACCAACTCTTCCAGTTTCCTCGGTTTTTCTGCAGCATGGAGCATTGCATGATTCCCGGCTGTGCCGCCTACGCCAACGCAGGTGGGTCGGCTGGACTTGAGAGATTTTCCGGTCGCGAAGGGTGTTCCGCACTTTGTGAAACTTTATCGCCTTGTGGCCTTGTGGTGGCTTGGTTGCTCGTTTTTGCTTCACATCACCCAACCTGACCAGAACTGTATATTTTTTTGCGGTGCAGCTTTGAGCAGGTTCAGAGATTCAAGAGCTGAGCTGGCCAGAACTGAGACACCCCTCAACTACTGTAATTACCTGGTGGATCCTTGGTCTCGAGCCAAGCGGGGCGAGTCGCTTGCGCCGATGTCGACCGATCGCTTTGGAAGCCTTCGGGTGGGCTGGTTCAAGAGGCAGGTGCATCCCAGTCACGCTTGGGGCGGTTTCCGAAAGTTTCGTTTGTTGATCGGTGGGATTTAAAGAACATAGCAAGTCAAGAGACCTTAAAATTGTCTCCACCAGAGGTGGCTTTATTCTAGAAACCGCCAATCTTGAAAAAAGGCAAGAAAACAAGCAAAACAAGTGCAAACCAAAAAAGCACAAGCAAAACAAAGAGCAACCAAGAAAGCAAAAAAAGCACGCACTTAAAGCACTCTTTAACGTGGTCCAACCAAAAGGTCAATAGAGGCAATGCTACTACCGACACTACTAGTCCCTGGGCCTCTGCAGACTAACTGCAGATTCAGAATTCAACGCGTTGGAGCCCAGCTTGGCGAGGGGGCCGGGTAGGGTGAGGAAGACAAGGGTCTTTCATCCCCGAGGCCCAGCTGACTGGTTTTCTGGCGCCGGGTCAAGTGTCGCACTGTTTATCGCTGATTTTCGCCATGTTTTTCGCTTTTCTGCACAAAGAAAGTGGACAAAAAAAAAGAGCGACCAAAAGTGCACCAGAAAGTGGACCCTTCCAAAAAGTGCGCCAGAAAGCGGACCATTCCAAAAAGTGCGTAGAAACCTCAGGGACCATGTAGATGTCAGCCGCCCCACAGCTTTTTTGGAGGGGTGTACAGTTAGTCACCCAGTCGCTCGCAGGTACAGTAGCAGTAGCAGTAATTGTGTTCTTTCTTGGCTTGCTTTGTAAGTAACTACCAGGTAACTTCTTTTGTGAACTGGTTATCACGCTGTTTGTTGCAAGGGTATTTTCTTGTTTGTTACAAACATGCTGTGTTGTTCCATTTTTGCTTGCAATGTTGTTTGCTTTGTTGTTGCTTTCATGATTCTGTTTGTTTTTTTCTAGCTGCATTTTGGCATTGTTTATTTTGCTCTTTTCTTGCTTTTATGATTACTATTGATTTCTGGTTGCATTTTGTGATTGTGTTTTGCTTTTGTGTTGTTGTTTTTTCAAGATGATCAACTTCTAGAATCTAGAATACAGGGGTCTGGCAGACATAACCTTAAAATAGAAGCCTTCCCCGACTTACTGTCAAAACTTAGTAACTGGGTTTGCTGGATAGTCATGGACTGTTTTTTTGTTTCCAGTTGTTTTCACATGTGGACTGCCCATTGCGCGCCGGGAAACAAAACGTTGTGGTCCTCTATCGTTTGTTTGCGTTTGCAAAGCAACGTGCAGGTCTTCGAATGTATGACGAGGAGCAGGAGCAACATGTTCGACGTCCGACGCAAAACACATGCAACGTCCAGTGGCCCATCGTTTCACAGTCGGTCTGCGCACGTCTTCGTGGCATGGGATGGACAGTTGGACAGTGGCACTTAGAGTGGCACGGCGGGTCCAGGAGATCGAAGCGCACACCTCGGAGGTGCCCAACGAGCGGCCCTCCCAGGCGGTGCGCGTCTTTCGTCCAATGGGGAGCGAGGTGCCAAGAGAGGAAGAAGGAGTTCTTTGAAGTTCTTTGAAGGGTCGACCTGAAGGCACAAGAAGAAAAGAAGAAAAGAAGAAAGACTTATAAGATTGATTTATCATATGGAGCTTTATAGGTGTTGTTTTGTTGTCTCGAAATGTCCTGTGCTAGGCCTTGGTGTTGCCCAGAACCTTACCCAAGGCGACCGTGGGCGCATCTCGCGGTTTTGAGGCATAAATATGGTCGGGGAGTGGTCTCTCAGTGCTGCAAAGCACTCTATTTGGGAGGTTTTGAAGTGTTGGAATTAGTCGTTTATGCACCAGTTTCTTGACTTTGGTGGAGCTAGAAGAGTTTATTTGCATCTTGAAGAACCACTAAAAGGAGAACCTCCACAAACCATGATGAGACAAAGGCCTGTTTTGCAAATGTCTCATCTCCTGTTCGCCTTGATGAGATCTTCAATCTTCGAGCGGCCGTCCAGTCTGCTTTGGACTCAAAATCCTTGCTCCTAGTAGCGATGCCCTTCGTTCCTAGTAGCTTCTTGTTCCGGGTTTCTTGAACAAAACAAAAAGTAAATTCCTGTTGTATCCGGACAACTCGCTTTCTGCCGCTTCTTTTGAGGAGCGCTTGGAGCTCCCAGAGACCCATGCATCCAGGCCAGGCCTGGCAGAGAAGTATGTGTTAATTTCGATCATTTCAAGTGTGTGTGTGTGTGTGCTTTCTATTGAAAAGTATCTGGGAAGTTGTGCTGGATGTTTCTGTTCTTCACAACTGCACTTGTTTGGCCCATCGTTCCAGCGATCAAGTTTCATTTGGAATGTTTTTGTTTGGAGTGTTTGAAGGTGACCTGGCAACACAGTGTCGATCCGTCGATGGTATAATAAACTGTGGGCGGTTAGCGGCGGTTGACTCAGGGCCTAAAAAGGCGTTCCTTTGTCCAGTCTCCCCCTGTTTCACACAGAGCGCATGGGAATGGGCCGAATGGGTGAACACGAGCTCCAGCGGCTCCAGCGCCAGGTCGAACCGTATCGCTAGGCCAACCCTAGTCTCCTGGTGACCCACAGCCGTCTCTCCCACATGGTGTGCACTGCATGACGGCGGGGTCTGACCACCGAGACCCAGGTCGGCCTTCTCGCGCAGGCGCTGGTCGTCGGTTGAAACACGACCGATCCCACCTGAAAAAGGGGTGTCCTGGCTGGAGGTCCCTGATTGTAGTGTAGGGGGGTTCCAGCCAGGTGACCCCGACATGAAGGTGCTGGTCTGTCTCTTTTGGGAGGAAGTGTGTCAGTTCTTTTGGTTCCTACGGATCCGCGAAAGCAACGCGAAAAGGTGGAGCAGTGAACCGAGAAGCCGATTCCTGCAAGTGTTTTTTGGTCCACACTGATTTTGCCATCCATAGTATAAAGATTTAAGGGGCCCTCCCTGAGACCTGTTTGGAATCCACACCGGTTGCATGGTGTTTCGACTTGAACTCGATTAAGACCATGTCAGGTCATGTGATTCGTTTGTTTCAATGTGGCATGTGGCCGGTATTGATGAGACTTTGGTAGACTTGGCGCCCTTTCTTGTGATGGAGAGAGCGACCGGAGCCAGGAAGGCGACCAACATGGCATTTTGCATTGGGGTGTCTTATTTTAAATCTGTCCATCCTGGTGCAGGATTTGTTCAACGAGTGCCGAAGCACACCAATTCTAGAACGCAGTGTTTCCCAGGGTTCTGGAACATTTCTGAGCACTGCCATGGATCACCAGTTGCGATGAACCCATATTTTGGATGGAAAGGCAGGATGCCCGTGCAAAGGTTAACAGGACTGGACGGGGCAACACCCAAGAATCCTTTTGATGGTGGCCAAGTCGCCATGTCACTGTTCTCCCTTTTGGCAAGTCCTCCATATGTAGGTGCTGACACGCATGCTCATGGGGACAAACCAGTTGTGTTGGATGGAATGGGGAAACAAACAATTGGCCTTTTGTGTGGCTCTAGGCCCTAGGCTGGTCACTGGATAGTATGGTTTGCTTGGTGGCAAGACAGTGCTTGAAGGAACATAGCTATTTGTATTCTATTTTTGTTTGAACGGCCTTGCCTAATTCTCGCCAAGGCACAGTGCGCGCACGTTGCATGTTGAGCCATTGAAGGTTCGAACACATGACAACAGCTCATGATTCACTATTTTTTGCAAGCAGAATCCCTCACTCAGCACTGTGTAATCCAAGTTAAAGCACCCACTCTTTGTTGCCACAGACCAGCGGTCCAGCTTATTGCAAGTGCAACGATGACACACATACACGCAGCGGCCAGAACTCCCCCAACCTCCTAAGCCTAAGCAAGATTGGCAATGAACAGGCTGCTGATGTGTTGAATCTCGGAAACACTACGGTCACCCTCAATCCAAACGCTTTGGCAGTGCGTTAATCTCCGAACACCTTTGGCTGAAGCCGCTGGAATTCGTCATGTTGCATGTCTTGATCGCGCTTGGCCCTTGATCATCGCTCGGGCAGATCCATTGCACTTTGCCTCCTTGGTAGGAGTACGTAGAAGCACAAGTAGGTGGTTTTTGGTTTCCAGAACGTTGGAAACAGGACTCTGGATGAGGCCGCTTTACTTCTCCAAGGACACGGTCCCCTGGTTCTCCATCCTTTGATCCTTTGGTCTGAGGCGGCTGGGAGGTTGTGCCGAAAAAAAACACTAACGGGTGGAGTTCCCAGACCCAAGCAGGGCGTGTAGCTCAAATAAGAAAAAGCTTCCCGAAGCCCCTCTGGAAGAAGCGAGATATAACCAAAACCATCCAAAACCCATTGGCCCGTTGCCTGGGGGATTTCAAACAGCTAAAGATAGCCCTGCCTGGCCTGTGCCTCTTCCAGCTTGGGAACTTCCAGCTTCTTCGAAAGCTTCTTCACCTGCCGTGCTGCGGCGGGTCGACGGAGGTCCTGGGTGGTCCCGTCACTGGGACTGAGCATCGTCGATGCGCCTTGGGAGGCGACGAAGAGGGACCATCCCGGGGGCACTGTCCTGGGGGCACGGTCCCGGGGACCGAGGAGAGCGGGTTTTGAGCGGAGGAAAAAAGTGTTCATGAACATACCGAAATCCTAAACCTTTCATCAACATGTGCGGAGATCCAGAATGTAGGGGCTTCCAGGAAGGTGACCCGGAAAGGAAGGTGTTGCGAAAGCTGTTTTGACACGAGACTGCGTAGGTCCAAGTACGAACGGCCAGAACGAGATCGAAGTGGACGTGGGGGGATTTAAACTATTCGATGTTGCAGAAATCGCTATGCCGCGCCATGCTGTTCCACTTTTTGATTGTTCAATCAACTCTCGACAAGCTCTTGCGTGCATGGACTGGAAGGTTTAGAACAGAATCGTCGATGCAAAAATTCTACTTTGTGAACGCGAGGTCAATCAAGAAAGTAATTGACATTATTCTTGTTCAAGACATTGTTGTAGGTCAAGGAACACAGCTGCTTAAGAAACATCGGAGTCTAGGGCGTACAGCACTTTCGGACCCATAGCAGATAAAGAGCTTCTTTTGTTGCAGTGTACAGTGCTCTCCAACGATGAGAGCATGGTTCATGTATCTCTCGATGCATGTCATTGTGTTGTTGATTGTGTATCGGTTTGGTTTGGTTTTGCTTTCTTTTGTGTGAGGAATCAAGCTTCTACCGACCTTTTCCTTTTCTGCGTTGCTTGTTTCACACACACGTCCAGGCTCGGCGGAGCAACATCCTCCGGGTCACAGGCGGCGCCGTCCTCGTCGTTTGGGTCCGGTCGGACCACCCATGGGGGACAACTCACAGTCATGAACCTGGATTGAATATTTTTCAATATGAGCGGTTTTGGGGGGGAAAGGAGTGAGGGTCAGGTGTGTTGAAAGTGACGACATTTGCATGGGGAGGGGAAAAAGGAATGAAAAGCATGCCGGGAGTTCCAGTGGTGTTTTTTTTTCGCCTTTGGGTCTTCCGTTCTGTGTTTTTTTTGTTGCATCCAGGGTATTTATGCACAAACCTTTTTCTAACTCCTGTGGCTTTTCTTCCTGGTAGTATGCACTTGTTGCTATGTATTTTTACCGCAAGGCGGTCAACAAACAGCACCAGGGGTTTGTCGCTTGTTTGATGATCAAACATGAGATCTCCAAGGAATCCTTTCCCGAAGCGATGAGAGCATGATGGGCCAGTTCCGACAGAAGAATGGAACCACTCTATTAGAGAATACTCGAATTCTTCGGCCTCCACAAAAGTCAATCCGTTGCAGTATGGTCAGAACTCACCATCCAATATGATCCATTCATAATCCATCACCGGCCATTTCAAACGCGAAGAGGTTACCATTTGGCACCATGGAAGACGAAAGAACCACCAGACACCTGGAACAGATCCTGCACCCCGCCACTGATGAAATGGATTTGTTTGCGGATGATCATTTTACGCCAACCCGCGATTTTCAGCAGCTCCCTCCAAGGATTGGCTGATTGGCTTCTGAAACACATCTAACTTATACGACCGTGGTGACCTGTTGGAGGGTGCTGGTATGAAATGGTATGAGAAGATGTTTTTCGATCCATCTACCTCGGAGATTCATGAACACAGCCGCGATCTTGAGGCCAGCCATGTGACGAGTGCTCCTCCATGGAAGACTTCTACAAGGTCAGTGGGCGCGCCGCGGTGCGCCACAAAGCCAGCTGCGCAACCTGTGTAGACATCAATGGACGACATCAAATTCCCTCCAACGGACGCATGGAAGTGGACGCGATCCCCTGTTTTATTGAGGAAAATGGTCAAAAAACCCGGGGGCGATGTTCCACTTCCATGATTGAATCCAGTGAGGGTCGAAGACGTTTGTCAATGATGCAGTTTTGGTGTCAACTTATCATAAGGTGTCAAGCTGTGTTTTTTCCAAGTCGGTCAAGTGTCAATTCAATTCAGAAGGATCGACTTGTTCCGCTGTTATATCTTATAATAATCCTTCTTCCAGCATGTGGGACAACCGGAGATGTTTGATCAGTGTTTCGGCAGAACTTTATAAGATCGATATTATATATATATATACTCAGTGGATCCACATACCCCTTGAGAAGGTGATTGGACACTCTTTCATGTATTCTTGAAGGGTCCAGTCCAAGTACCTACCTTCTGAGGTCTGTGGATCCTAAAGGGGATATTGATGAACCACGAACGTCTCCTTCGCTGAGAAGGTATGTGGATCGTTTAGTTCACATCATGAGACTGGCATGAGACGACCTTTCCCAGTTGGGGTGGCAGCTGACGAGGGTCAGCTTGCACGCCTTTCCCCGTCGGAGGCCAAAGTTTCGGCCTGCCAGAGGGGTTGTACATGTCATTCAGCGAGTTCTTGGGTATGTTGCTACAGAGGCTCTACTTGAGGATCACTTGAAACCTGCCTGAGAACCCTGAAAGGTGCTGGTTCTTGAGACGGTGTTCTAAAAGTACTCCTCATGCTGAGAAGATCCCTTCAGTTCGTCATGCAAATTCAAACCACGCGGCGGCACGGCACAAGCCCACTTTCCCACAACGCCCATGTTTGTCCTGGTTCTCCCCACCGGCCTCCATATGCCTGGCCATCCCAAGGATTCCATGTGCTGGTGAAGATGTACGGTATGGCAAGACCATAGCTTATTTAGAAACAGCAGTAGTTCAGATATTCCACCATGAGCCACACGTAGCCACATTCACACTGGATGAATCATTCGTTGCTAGACCAATCCTTACCTGCCCAAGTTGACTGCAGACATCTGAGTTTTGCTGTGATCATTGTTTTCCTCATGTGATCTGATCGAAGGACAATGAGCTGGTCTTCCTCTTGTTCTACCAGCGAGATTTGGTGTCCCACCATGCTTACAAGGCCGTTGTTCCACCACCAGGTCGTTGTTCCATGAGTTGGCACGATGGGGCAGATGTTCCAGGAAAGTTGGGCCACTGAGAGGATGGTCCTACTCGTTTCAGAGATGGTCCTAGGATTTGCCATTGCAGCAATTAGTTATATAAGTCATTTCGATCAGTTGGACAAACAAGACTCGTGTTTTCCCGAATGCGTAGCGAAGGGTTCTCGTTTAACTCTTGGGGGTCTGGGTGTGGAGCCTTGTTCGTGAGCCGTTGTTTCTACGTCCGCAACCGTCCGCAACCGTTCGCGGTAGAGCGCTAAGGCGCTGCCATTGGGGGAAGCTTTTGCAAGTGACTTTTCATGGATGTGTCACGTGTCCGCTATTCCATTGTGATTTGCATGAAAAAGACATGTCGCGCAAGCAACGTGATGCGTTTCGCTGCACAGGCGCAGCGTTTGGTGAGATCTGCAGATTGCTGCGCAGTTCCATTGGGATTAGCGTTTGGAGAGTCGTGTTTTTGGGGTGTTGGATGTGGCCGTGCCATTGGGATTTGCGCTTCAGGGTGTGGCATCGAAGCTCTGTTTTCGTGACAAGTCTCAGCTGAAATGCCGATTTTGGTGGATGGGAGTGTGCTCAGAACGGGTCGAAATCATTCCAAACGTGTGGTGTGGTGCAAATTTTGTTGAAGCTCACATGAGATGACATTGTTACTTTTCGTGGCAGGCGCAGGACTTTGTGCGGGCTTTGAGGTGTGGAAGTGGGATTTTCGTGGCAGGCGCAGGGAATCGTGAGGTTGCGATGTGTGACGGAGGTGACATTTCGTGGCAGGCGCAGGCGTTTGTGAGTTGTGGTAGAGGTGAATGTCGCTGTCACATTGGGATTGGCGTGTGAGCGGGTGTCGTTCGGAGGGGCTGGAATCGCGAAACTGCTTGGCAGGGCTGCGTGATGTGTGTGCTCCGATGGGTGTTTCCGCTGGAGTTTTGGAGGTAGTCTCGTGCGAAACGTTCGTTTTGCAGACTTTGACATGTGAGTTTTTGAGGAAGTCTCGTACGAAACGCTCGTTTTGGGGACTTGACATGTGACGTTTGGAGGAAGTCTCGTACGAAACGCTCGTTTTGGAGACTTGACGTGTGACTTTTGGATGAAGTCTCGTACGAAACGCTCGTTTTTGAGACTTGACGCGTGACTTTTGGAGGAAGTCTCGTACGAAACGCTCGTCTTGCAGCCTCGCAGCGTGACTTTTGGAGGAAGTCTCGTACGAAGAGTGTACCCTACAGGAGTGTCCCACAAGAGTGTCCTACAAGAGTGTCCCACAAGAGTGTCCTACAAGAGTATCCCACAAGAGTTTCCTACAAGAGTGTCCCACAAGAGTGTCCCACAAGAGTCTCCTGGAGTGTCCCACAAGAGTGTCCCACAAGAGTACAAGAGTGTCCCACAAGAGTGTCCTGCATGTCCCACAAGAGTGCCCCGTATGAGTGTCCCACAAGAGTGTCCCACAAGAGTGTCCCACAAGTGTGTCCCACAAGAGTGTCCGACAAGAGTGTCCCATAAGAGTGACCCACGAGAGTGTCCTACAAGAGTGTCCCACAAGAGTGTCCCACAAGAGTGTCCCACAAGAGTGTCCCACAAGAGTGCCCTACAAGAGTGTCCCACAAGAGTGTCCTACAAGA